CATGTGCCTTTCAAACAACACTGTCAATGGCCTGACAAGGGCCTTGATTTGAGCTGCCTTGCCCCTCATCTTGCCACCATGCTTCTTTCTGAGAAACATGCTAGGCTTCATTTGAAAATAGCCATCCTTGATATTCAGCTCTTTGTACAGAGCTTTCAGTTCTGCCCACAGCTGCTTGGTGTTGTCTTCGACATTGCCAGGCAGCACATAGTGTGTGAGCACAACCAATACTCCAGCCAGTTGGTATTGGTCTGTTCCTAAATGCTTGAGGTGCATAAAATCAAGCAATGCACTGAGGCCATACATCTTAGGCATGGCAAACAGTTTGCATTGTGTTTTCTGGCCCCAGCTTCTCCAGCTGTCCAAAGTCCAAACAGTGCTTCGCCAAGGTGCACTTGGGAGAAAATGCGTCCACCTGTTCAATCCTCTTCTTGTGCATTTGCAATGAGCACATGGTCCTGCCAGCACAGACCACCTTGGCAGCCCCAAGGAACCTGCAAAGAAGTCCAAATCGCCCTTCACACCAATGAATTTGGCATGGTATCCAGAAGCCAATGGGGTGTTGGCCCTTTGCCACCCAATGGAACCTGCAGGATACCTTAGGACAAGGAATAGAATGCATGGAACAATAAGCCTACGCAAAGCATGTCAATTGCAACAATAATCCTAAACACATCCTATGCACCAAACTTCTTGGAAGACCAGCTATATGGGCAGATCTCTTTGCCACCAGGCCACTTGTGACCCAAATAGTCACTTTCAGGCCAAAGGCCTGAAGAAAGTGCAGTGAAGCTCCATGACAAAATTTGGAATAAAGTCTCCAGGGTCCCATCTTTGCCAGGCTTGAAGTATTGCTGGTAGCCCTGAGAGGGCTGCAAATCAAACACAACAATAGTTGTTGCTGGCCCTATTTTTGGCTACCCCTCAGTCACACAAGAAAAACACAAAGCATCTGATTCCTGACCAAGTGCAAGCCAAATCAGAAATGTACTCTTCTTTGTCCCTGATTTGGCCAGGAGAGGCTGCCAACTGTACACCTCCATGAGCTTCCCCCACACTTTGCCGATTCCCACAGTGGGAACACCATCCCCATGCATTGCTATGGGGATAGACTTCTTGCTGAAGGAAAAAGAATTGCCTTTTGCCAGTTGGTGGTGCTGGAACTTGTCCCAAAACTGCTCCAGCTGAGTTGGGCCACCTGGCATGCACAATTCCATCCAATGCTCATGTTGGTTGTGAAATAGCCAAGAGAACATTTCATGGGGCAAGGATACAGACTGGTAAGCCTGTCCACTCTTGAAAGGCAATTCTGCCAGCAAAGGCTGTGGCACCTTGCATCGGTCTTTGAGTTTTTTCACCAAATCTCTGTGGCAATTGTTAGGAGCTGCGCCAGCATTGCCAATTCTGGCTATATTGGCCAATTGCTGTGGTACATTGCCTTGGTGAGCTGTCATGTCCTGGCATGCACATTGCGCAAGCCTTTGGCATTGCTGGGGAGTTAAGATGCCCCAAGTAAACATGCTTTCCAATTCATTTGCCAAAGAAGAGGAAGCTGAGCCACTCCCACTGGCCATGGTTGCAGCTTTCAATCTTTTGCTTGCTTGTTCCATCCTTTGTCTTTGGCCACCCCTTCTCTTTCCATGGGCCAAAGCCTCTTCTGGTTCTTCTTCTTCTGCCATGGCTTGAAGAACTACAGGGTTTCATTTCATTCTTGTGCCAGGAATGGCAATGGCCACTTGAAATTATATTCACATTCGACCTTTTGTTGCAAGTAATCCTAAGTGTGTATAATGCAAGCAAAAGCAATCCTAATATCAAATAAATGAAAGCCATCAAGCCAGGTGCTTATAATTCATTCAACAGCCATGCAGCTTTTTGGAAGCTAGCTTCATAGGGGATGCTTGCATCCACATAGAAATGGTACTTTTATGATATATTTCAATAACACATTTAATTTATTGTTTTCACACATCTCTTTTGCTGTTCAAGACATCGGGTCTTTGCTGCATCAAAACCAAAGACCCTTTGGGTCCAGGTTGTTCACATCCCTCTGGACTTACACAGTGCTTTGAACTGTTCCATCTGATCGTTTGCCTGCTCAGTGGAGTCTGCCAGCTTCTTCATGAAGGAAACCACATGCTGCTTCTCCATGCCACCTGGCACCTCCTCACAAAATCATCACAAGCATTGCTAGGGAGGAGAAATAATCCTATGCAAAGCAACAATCCTATCACCACAGGCACTGCTAGGAAGAAGAAATAATCCTATGCAAAACACAATAATCCTACAAAGAAGGGCACATCTGTCCTGGAACATTTGGCAGTGCTGCAAATCAGTCAGGTTGGTATTGCAGATGGCAATGACCTCCTTGAGCATTTTGGACAACTGCTGTTCCTTGCAACCCCTCACTTTGCTGGCATACCTTCCTGCATCCTTCAACAAGCGTTCCTGGGTCAACTTTGCCTCACCAACTTGCCTGTCGACATTGGACCACTTGACCATGTCCTTGACATCCTCTGGCTCCTCAACTGTCCCATCGCAGAGAGCCTTTTGTCTTTTTGGAGGGGCTTCAGTCGAAGCAGATGACCTTCTCTGGTGGAGAGGTGAATCTGAAAAGGCTTTTTGCCAAACTTCAGCTCCTCCTTGCTGAAAAGGCCTCTTCCCAAAGAAGCCAGCATGCAGGTCCTGCATCTCATCCACACTGACTTTGGCTTCTCCTCCTCCCAAGTGCATTGTTTGCTCTTGTGCCTTGCTTCTCCCTGTCTTCAGCCTTCCATAGTGGAAGAAGCCATCTTTTTCATACACATCACCACAGGCAATGGCATCCTCCAATGCTCGCTCATTGCCCTGGAAGACCTGCCACAGCAAAATGCTTCTTGGGACACCCTTGGAGCCAGCATCAGTGTACTTGGTGTCTGTTTGCTGCACAAAGCTCTTCCAAACAGGAGTGTCTGTGGCAAGCACATACTGGCCATTGCTGGTCTTCTGGAAAAGCTTGTTGATGAGGTTGGTTCGAAAGAGCCTCTTGCCACCTGCAGTCACTGCACCTTCAGGTCCTTTCTCATAAAGTTCCCTGATTTCTTCTGGCAATTGCCCTGCATCCATCATCCTGTGCAGTGGAAAGTGCACAAAGAGTCAGCTAATGGAAAATAATCCTAATCCTGCAATGTCTTTGAAAAGTAATCCTATATTGTGTTTGTAGACCAATAATCCTACCATACCATTGAAGAAGCAATCCTATCATGCTTGCTGAGAAACAAACCTGACATGTAATTGAAAATGTCCAAAATCATACAGAACTAATTGAAACTGAACATTGTTATTGCTTTATCCCCCTAGGCAGCACTCTTCTGTTTCATTTTGCATCATATTTCATCCAAGCCTGGCAAACTTCCTTGCTTTTCCATAGTCCCTCTTTGACTCCTCCCCTTCATGGCTTGCTGAGTCATCATTGGATGACTTGCTTGAGCTGCTGCCATCCTTCTCATCATCTTCCTCCAAGGTCCTCCATCCTGCTGTTTTTGCGCTCAAGGGAAGGGCTTTGACCTTTGCTTTCGGTTCTGGGTCTGCAGGGTCTTCTTTGGGCTTTCCCTTGCTCTTGGGCTTGGGCTTTGCTTTGGGACCAGGTTTCTTTTCATGTTCCTTCTTCTCCTTTGTCTCCTTCTTCGACTTCTCTTCTGTTTCCTTCTTCTTGTCCTTTGTCTCCTTGCTCTTCTCTTCAGTTTTCTTCTTCTTGTCCTTTGTTTCCTTAGTCTTCTCCTCTTTTTCCTTCTTCTTGTCCTTTGTCTCCTTGGTCTTCTCTTCTTTTTCTTCCTTCTTATCCTTTTTCTCTTTGGTCAACTTCTCTTCCTTTGCCTTCTTCTTGCCCTTTGCCTCCTTGGTCACCTTCTCATCTCCTTCCTCCTCTTTGTCAGAGGCATCTGGCTTTCCATCATCCTCCAAGGCCAAACGCCCTGTTTCTTCACTTTGTGCTGGCTTCTTTCTAGGCTGAGGCATGGCACTGTATGGTATTTTGCTCTTGCTTGAGCAAGTATTGCTGTTGGAGGGTCTAAGCTTCCAATAACCCTAACCTCAAAAACTCTGCCAGAAGCAATCCTAGAAGTTTACACCAAAACCAGTAATCCTAGAAGTTGCAAAAATAATCCTAGACCAAAAAATCCACAAACTTCAACTGCAAAGAGACAGCTGTCTTTGGAACAGAAACTTTGGTCCATACAATATTGCCTTTTGTTTAATAAATACAATAATTCAATCTATATTTGTATTCATTTTTATATTTTTACAGCTTCCTGGTTATTGCTTCATCGGTTGTTTCTGCTTCT